TCTGAATCTGGTGAAGAATCATTTTTTCCGATTAATTCTTCACCAGCTTCAGAAGAGCTATCAGATGATTCTTCTTTTACTGAAAGAATATTATATAATTGTTTTTTAATACTATCTTCAATTTTAAGGGCATTAATCTTCTTTTTTACTCTACATTTATTTTTATAATGTCATACTTTACCACAATTAAAACAAACAGGAAAAGATTGGTCTTTCACAAAAAATTTATAAAATTTTCCTTTCCTTTTAGAATAATGGTTCCTTTTCGATGATAGTTTATACTTCTTATTCTTTTCACCCCTTCCATATTTTTCTTTATATTGTGAACTAGATGGTAAAAAAGTATTATAATCAAACTCTTAACAAAAATCTCCAAGTTGCCTTTTGAGTGTCAATTTTTGTTTATCCAATTGTTTTCTAAGTTTAAGTTTAATTTTTTTTTTTTTTTTTTTTTTTTTTTTGGATTAGAAGGCTACCCATTTTTTCAAGTAGATTCAGCTTTTTTGTAGGTATTAGTAGGGTGACCCCGAAATGAAAACCCCAAAGTGGTGACAAGGCAATTGTTTGAAGTTGACACCTTACCCAAATGCAACCTTTTATTAAAACACCGGTTTTACCTGCTCAAAAGGGGACAAAATTTATATGATTTCAAAAATTATCATAACCTTCAAACATGAGTAGATAAATCCAATGGCCAAAGGGACAGTGATAAGTTGCGCATTTTCCTTGAATTCGTCTAGGACATGACATTTTTTAAGTACCGCTAAATTGTTTATCCATTTGTGGGGTCAAAACCCAATCCAAAAAGCTAAGAGTCAGCATACCCTTTCCCTAAATAATGGTTTTTTAATTAGATTCCGACATTAATTCTACAGAAAAAGCACATCAGTCATAGAAAAGCATAAGGAATGTTACTTTGTGCACATTTTTCGCACGGAAAGGGAACATATCCAGGTGCCTTGGTGCATTATGGGCCTAGTGGTGAAGAAGAAAAGCGTGGTTTAAAATTTCGTCACGGATTAGACGAAAACAAGCCAACGGTTTAACATTTCGGCACTATTCAGAAGAAAACTATCCATCGTTTCAAAATTTCGTCAGAACTCGTTCGTAATTGAAGGAGGATAAAAATATCACACTTAAATGTCCCAAATTGATTGAGAGATTAAAAAAACAAAAGAATTTAAAAAATGGCACTCCTACTGCACAATTCCCACCCTTAACCAAAGGTACAGGGATGCGGATTGATTGAGAGATTAAAAAAACAAAAGAATTTAAAAAATGGCACTCCTACTGCACAATTCCCACCCTTAACCAAAGGTATTGGGATGCAGTCGTAGTAACCCCATACCTAGTTATCATGTTGTAGCTTTTAATGGGACGGACTTAATTTATATGGTTTTCAATCCCGCCAACACCTTCAAATAAAACAAACTCTCAAAACTATATGAAAAAAACGGGTAATAGCTAATCTTTACCATTAAATAAAATATAATAATAAATAAAAAATACGCCCTCTCCAAATCACTTTTTGGATACGAATCACATAATTGGGTGGTCAAGCCCCCCTGAAAAATACATTCAAAAAAATAATCATTATATCTGAATATAATTTTCAAATCATCTTTGATTCAACTTATTTAATTCAATAATACCACAAATAAAAGCTAAAAATAATTTAAAATTTTCAAAAAAAGATAATTAAAAAGAAAGAGCTATTGAATTTGAAACCATGGATCTATGGTCCCTCACAGTGTGTCACGGCGCACCTAAGTCCACTCGGTTAGGAGGGCGAAGCCAAGTTTCCCTGTGTTGGATGTATAACTCAAGGAGATTAAAAAAAAATTTAAAAATTACTGATTGTTTTATAATGTTTTTGTATGTGATTTGGGTGTATTTCGCAAAGATTGGTGAATGTGTTTTTTCTCTAATCACCCGTTTTCTATTTTTCTCCTTTTTTATATTTTCAAAATGTCCTAAACTGTAAATCAGACATTTAAAATCTATTTTTCTCTACATTTTAAGTATGTTTTAAGTTTCAATTTACTGTTACTACATATTTTTTTTAGAAAAAAAAATGAATTTTGTATGTTGGTCCCCCAATGCAAGGTTCATGATCCGTGTGGCCTTGTGCTCAAAATCCTGTTTTTTTTTTTTTTTTTTTTTTTTTTTTAACAGAATCCATTTTCAGGTGACCTCCATCCAAATTCTTTTTTTTTTTTTTTTTTTTTTCCTAGAATCCATTATAGATCTACAAAATGACCTCCCAAGTCCCAACCGTGCTTTTGGGACAAGACCACCCAATGTACCGAAATACTTCCAATTTTTTGGGTGAAAATACTAAAATAACACCTTTTATGCTCTTTTTCCCTAAAAATTCGCCATAGTTTGCCAAAACTTCGCCTAAAAGATATACATACTGTTCGTAATTTCGCAAAAGATTCGACCGCAGCAACCAATCAAATCATCCAAAGAAGGCATGAATGGTCATGAATCATTTCCATTGAAAACGAAATTTCAGACGAAATTCAGTTGCCTTGAAAAGGAAAAAATGACGCGAAACATTAAAACTTCGGCCAGGTTCCAAAAAGCTAAACATGGGGTTGGAACCTGAAAAGAACTAAAAGCGAAAGCCTGAAGAGAAAAGAGACGGACACAGAGAGCACTCGCATTACAAAAGAGAACCAAATGACACACACACTCGTAACAAACAGGTAAAGTTAGAGAGAGATGGAGAGAGACTATTTTTTTTTTTTTAGAAAGAAGAGAGAGATCCAAGGAGATTAAAAAGTTATATTACAAGGTAAAAGGGAGAGGTAGAAAATTACTTTTGAGTAATTCAGTGGGGGAAGAGAGACTCCTACCAATTTTTTCAATAGATTTGAGAGTTACATTTTGAAAGTGTAATTTGGGGTAACGAGTCATGGGGTACTAAGATGCTATTAGCACGATCCAACCCCTTTTTGCAGCGATGCTATCATCACGATCCAACCTTTTTTTAAAAAAATAATAAAATTAATGGGGATTTGAGCCCTTCTTTTTTTTTTTTTTAAAGAGAGTAAAGACAGAGGTCTTAGACCGACAATACGACCGCCAAAGCCCCGCGCCATTCTGAATTACTTTTGAGTTACTACTATGCGAGTAAGAGAGAGGTATAGGCCTTCTATAATTTATAGATAAAGAGGAGTGAGAAAGTGAGAGGACTAAAAAGATTTCAGAGACCAAAAAGATTCAACTGTGACTAGGCCAGGCAATTACCCGAATGGCCCAGCCAGACCCCCCGTCTGCCGGCCAAGTCTGGTCCGGCCCATTTTTCATTTATTTATTTAGCCCTTTTTTTTTTGGCCCAGCCCGGAGCAGTCCAGCCCTAACATGACTCGGGCTAGGGCCAGGCCTGAGCTGGCCTGGACCTATGGTGATACAGTCTCGGCCCGTTGCCTCCCTCAAGCGTGAAAAACAAAGACGTTGTAATGTTATTTAAGAAACAAGAGAGAGAGAGTAGCAGTCGTAAATATTAAATAAGAAATAAAAAATTAAGAGAAATATATTTGTAGAGAGGGAGGGAGAGGTGATTTTTGTAGAGAGAGAGAGAGAGAGTACCAAGGAAATCAGTGAGGACACGGCCATCAGAGAAACGGCCGGCTGGTTTACCGGGGAAGGTGATCCCGTATGGCTGCTTCCACGACGGCGATACGCTCTTCCGAAAGTTGCCAGTGTCCGCATACGAATCCCCAAACACAAATAACACCCTCCTCTTTTCACGATGATGAGCTTTACTCTCTACTCCCCCTAAACTCACTGTTACCATAATCAACAACACACCCAAACTGTAGATTAATAGAGATTTGGGAGAGAATATATCCATTCAAAAACTAATAGAAAGACAAATGAAAAAACAATTAAAAACACACTATTTTTGTGGCCGCTTCAAAAATTTATACCCCCCCACCAAAATAACAATAAGGGAAAGGAGCAAATCTCTCTCTCTCTATAAATCTTAGAACAGAAAAATGTAACATTATTAATGATGAAACCAAATAAAGTAAATTCAACTTTCCGTCCAAATATGAAACGCTTACCAATTAATAGAACAACGAAAAGAAGACTGCAAATGAAACGCAGTGCCATCTCTTTCTTTAGAAGAGGAGAGTGGTTCTGAAAACTTGGCTCGCAAGAAAATACTCCTCCTTTATCTTTAGCACTCCCCCTGATAGGTGAGAAATTGACATAAAATTGAAACCTCCAGCTCCTATCTCTCTCTAGAACTGACTTTCTCTCTCTCTCTCTCTCTCTCTCTCTCTCTCTAGAACTGAAGATTGATGAAACGACAATAATGAAAGGATAGCTATCAGATAGAATCGACAAATAGGTTTCTGGCCTTATGCCGTATTTATATGTCCTCATTCGATGAAGGACACAATAATGTTAATGAATAGTAAATACGATGAATTTTAATTAATAATAAATAAATGTTTTTTAATACGAACGGACGAATAATCGAATTACAGTAATTCGGCCGCCGCACGTGATAAGAATGGACCCCTTCTCCCAGACCCGGCACGTGAATCTGCAAGACCTTTTCTTTTCTTCAATTTTTACCGACGGCCAGGATCCGAAAGGACCTAATACAGAAAATCTGAACCGTTGGATATGCTTTTTCGGCTATCGTGGATGAGGTCCACCATATGGTACTCGGTTTCCCCCCAACCCCACAAATCAATCATTTTTCAAATCTTTCGCACGCGTTGTCAAAGATTAGTACATTAAATTAAAAAATTTAATTTCAATAAATGAGATTAAATTAGAGAATTTTTTAAAAGCTGGTACAGGTGCATACATATGGTTTTATCTTGTGCTGATGTCCCCTTGCCCAAGGTTATATAAGATATGTTCATTTAACATCTTTTTTATTATTTTAATAAAACAGGTTGGGGCCGATATCCCTGCATATGGTTTTATCTTTTGCTGATGTTCCCTTGCCGAGGTTTATATAAGATACGTTCATTTAACATCTTTTTGATTATTTTAATAAAACAGGTTGGGGCCGATATCCCTGCTGACTCACCCAAAAAAAATTATGTGAAATTTGAAACTTGAGATTAGCAAAGTAATACCCAAAAAAATTATGTGAAATTTGAGACTTGAGATTAACAAAGTAATAGATTACTCTTGAGTTCTCACTATTTGGGATTCTATCTACACATTTTCTAGGGAAATGCAGTCTGTGTTTGGTTCGGAGTTATCTATAGTTGGCATCTATAGTAGAATTAGTATGGGAGGCCCAAGAGGTGGTGGTTTACCTTGTAGTCGATATCACTGTTCAAGTATGCTTATCTCCAACTCATATAAAAAAATAGTCAAAAGGCCGTATTTGTTAGAAAATTACGAGTTTCTATCAAAATACAAGACTGCTTAATAAGAGGATTCGCTGCAAAAACTCATTAGGCCCATTATTGCCGACACAAAGGCCTACTTCTTTAGATCCATCATGCAGTGCATGTAGTTTGATAGACAAAAAAAGTCACAATATGCACTTTCATGTGCTGCACTAGTTGCATTTCTCCAAAGGTGTCCCAAAGTTCTTCCACCGAATATTATTACATAATCATCCCTAAAGATCTCAATCATCGTTGGTGTATGCCATAGGTGAATACCACTTAAAGCAGCAAGCATAACACCCAATAGAGATACTCAATCGCGAGTGAAATGAATACAGCAACTTCAATCTTTTCAATAAATCATTTAAATAGTAGATCAACAAAAACCAATGTGACAATTCGTTCCCCTTCTAGTTTCCCTAATATGGTGCCATAAGTGTAATATATTCAATAACCAATAGTATATAAAAAGTGTCTTATATATTTTATATTTCATGCTCATATTTTTATTTTTATTTTTCTCAAAAATCCCTTTGTTAAAAATATCAGTTCCCAGCTCTTTTTTAAAGTAGTTTGATCATTTAGTTAATATTTTCCTTTAAGGGTATAGGCAACAATCTAATTAGGTGGTCTTACCATGAAAAATGTAGTTAAAGATGCATAATTAGGAAATTGGAAAATGTGTTGATAGGGCTGCATCAAAATAAGTAAAGCCTCATCTTAAAACTTACTGGAAATTGTAGATCTTGCTTCGAAAAGTCTTCAAATTGATCATCTCAAGTTTGATCATTGTGGTTGTGAGAAAAAAAAAGATTTCAAATCCTAAAAATAATGTGTATTTGTAACACATTATCTAAAACGTTCATTTTGCACAAAAAAAAAAAGTTTTCACAAATCTACAAGACTTGTAACATATTTTGAATTTCATAATAGGTGAAGGAAATTGATTTTAGAACCATCATGGAGATTTCTAATACCCAAAGTGCTCTCCGGACCAGGATTTGAGTTAAGGCCATACTGAACCTAGGCCACAAAGAAACCACATCCGTAGAGAATTTTTTCAAGGAGAAATCATTTGTATCTTTGATAATATATAAAAAGTGTCTAACATATATTTAGGGTTATGTTAGGGTATTCATACATATGAGTAATTACTTAATGTACACACTATTTTTTTGGACACTCAATATTCTTACTCCACTATATCGTAACTTTTCTTATGTACGGATATATTAAGTAATTAAACAAGGGTAAAATGAAAATTCTTAATAGAAGGAAGAGCAGTTATTATCTATCGTAGATGATGACATCATCATGACATTGCTAGTATGGAGCAATGATGGCTTCTTGAATACTAAAAAATATCATTACTTTCTTATATAAATTGTGATTCTACCTATTCTAATTAAGAATAAGTGCCCTTATTTAAAAAAATTATATTATAAAACAAAGGTATATAAATGTCCAAAAAAATTGAGTACATCAAGAGAATACCTATATGTACGAGTGTTCTAATATAATCTCATCTTTTATATTTTATGCCCATATTTTTTTTTTTTATTTCTCTCAAAAATACCCTTTGTTCAAGAATATTAGGTTCCAACCTTTTCTAAGTGGTTTGACCATTCAATTAGGTGGTCTTACCTTGAGAAATATAATTAAAGAGGCATAATTAGGATCATCGACTCACATTATTGAGTTATTAAGAAGGGTAGGTTTGTGTAAGGTGTCAACCTTAAATAATCACGGTAAGGTGCATCCCAAAATCTCGTTCTAAGATGTATATTAAGGGCCAAAACTCTTATAATCACCCTAAAATGTATTGTTACCACCCATTATGAAATTGAAAGCTCCAATAATATTACAAATCTAGCAAATCTCTAAACACTTAAATATCGTGATAACATAAGGTCTAGATAATGTGTTATAAATCTTTGAACACTTTATACATATTGAACTGGAGATAATCAAGTGGAGGGTTTTCTAATAATGAAACAATCTTTTCTGATCAGTGCTGAGGTGCACCTTGCTTGTACAGTATAAGGTTGATACCTTGTATAAATTTTTTCCTATTAAAAACTCCCAAAATGCGTTGAAGATCAACACAAAATATATTAAGGGGTTGTCTATTTGCAGGATTGTCTACAAAGAGACCATTTATCCTTTGTGTATGGAAGTCACAATCATTCTCATTCATTGGATGTCAAATGGTATACCTAGGGATGAGTCGTGATGTCCGAGATTTTTTTTTTGGAGCTGTGTATTTTCAATGATACTCTTACAACCACCCATTTTGAAACTTTAGAGACAAAAATGATTGTAACTTCAATGTACAAAAGATAAATGGTAGAATATCCCATACATTAAAGGCTTATAGTGAATTTTTCATGGAGAATTCGTTTGTAACTTTGATTGAGCACTATTTTTATTGAAGGCTTGGATGTCGAGGGTGACCCAAAATGACCTAACAAAATCCAACCATTCCATTTGTGAGATCCTGAGAGTTTATCTTGGAAATGGGATCATGTATCTAATATTTTACCTATGTTTCATGTAGACTACTACAATCATGAATTTATTATCCAAATTGCCATAATTATAAATGTGCAAAAAGTAAATTTTAATTATTTTAGTGTCAAATTTTGAGCCTTATAAATGATTTTTCTCTATTGTAAGCCTACTAAATAGTTTATTTTATATTTTTTTGAAGGGTTTATTTTAAGGGAAAGTATATTATGAGACCATTTACTTTTTGTACAATATGGTCCCAATTAATCTTGATCATTGGATGTGAAATTAGGTAGTTGCATTTATTTCATTGACTAAGCTCAAAGTTTAAAAGAAATTTTTTCGAACTTTGTGACATACCCAAGCTAGATTTCACATCTGATGATTGTAAGTATTTGTGACCCTAGAATTAAAGTAAATAGTCGCATGGTATAAAATCCCTTATTTTAATCCTCATAACTGCATTGTTTTTGGTTTTGGAGCTCTAAATCCCTTGAGAACAAGGCAGACACGTGAGCAAGCCAACCTACCAAAACACCTCCATATCGGTGTCTAGAGCTTCACCTCAGGCCAGGTACTTAGCCTTTGGCTTGAGGCATATTACCTTGGCGATTCGGACTCGCCTGTACAAGGGCAAAAGCCCATGAAAAGTTTAAAAACAAATCAAAAAAATTGCAAATTCAAAATGAAAATGGTAAAAAGGTCAAACAATATTACAAAAAAAAAACTTTAAAGTGAAAAATTACAAAAGCCCCCAAGACTACACTATTTATTCAACTTACGCCCAACCTAACATTTTCTCTCAATTTTTTCTCTACAACAAACTTTCTATACAAATAACCCCCCAACCCAAAAAAAGAAGAAGACTAAACTACCCTTAATACTATTGCACACACCTCTCTCTTTGGCAGTAGAACCTATGAGACAGCGCTCCGATAGTAGCAAAGCATGATCTGGCAGTTGCAAAGGGCGCTCCTGCCGTAGAACTTGTGAGACATAGCGCTCCGACAGTAGCAAAGGGTGCTCCGGCGGTAGCACTCCGACAGTAGCAAAGGGTGCTCCGGCGGTAGCACTCCGGCAGTAGCAAAGGGAGCTCTGGCGGTAGCGCTCCAGCAGTAGAACTTGTGAGACGTCAAATCTCGCCAAATTGATTTTTTGGTATGGGAAAGGCATTTCCGTCTAAAATAGAAAGTTTATTGTGGGGAAAAAAGTGAGAAAAGGTTTGGATGGGGTAAGTTTCATAGATATTGTATTTTGGAGGGGTTTTGTAATTTTTGCTAAAAAGTATATTTGGATTTTAAAAAAAGGTGTGGTTTCTCTAAGGTTGAAACCTTAAACAATCCAATTAAGGTGCACCTCCAAAATTTATCATAACATGTAATTTTAGTGTAAAACGTTCTTAGGATTACCTTAAAATCTATTTTCATTTCTAATTATAAAATTTTAAATTCCAAAAATGATTAAAATCACATAGATCTATAAACA